TGAATTTTTTTGTTTTCCTATAGGTATATTTTTCGTAGAAATTTTTAATAAAATATTTTATGAAATTATGTTTTAATTTAATAAATATCTATACATAATTATTAAGGTCACTTGATAAATAAAAGAGTTTATAATAAAGAACTAAAAAAATAATTTTAGTAGTTTTTACATAATATGCAAGTAAGCGTTTCAGAAACTTTAAATCTGCAGCAGCGTTAAGAAAATTTAACCTGCCTAGTTAGAGGTTAAACGGCAAGCCGATCCTGGACATTAGGGTCAATATCAGTGCGACGTTGCTAAGTAGTTATTATCTCTGGTAAATCCAAATACATTTTTCGATTTTTAGTATTTCCAGGTTTACAAAAATAGTTGAAATAAACATTATATTTTTTGAATAAAAATACAGCTACAGTCTCGATTTTTTACATTTTGCTTTGTTGATATAGTAAAAATGCTCTTTTTAATATATCAAAATTTGGACTCCGTAGCCCCATTATGCACGATTCCATACATATGCATGTCAAATTTCATAAAATAATATTAAAAAATAGGCCTAGAATCTTGGAATTACTTTTAAGTCAATTTTAGCACATGGATAACGCTTCTAAAAACATTGAACTTATTTAATATTTTCAGTTTCCTTTTTAGTTTCAACCTGTAGTATAAAAATTATAACACATAAATTTTTAAAAGGACACCATAATCCTTAAAACAAACTGATAACAAATTATGATTTCGGTCATCTTCGTGCACAAAACACCAGTAATACATTATGGCAACATTATGTGACGCGCGACACGCAACACACACTTTAAGTTCACACGCACATACCCATATCCCGTTAGATCGAGCTGCACCCCATTCAAATAAATTTTTAATCGCGATTCTTGATATCGGCCGCGGTGGCCCAGCTACGATGTATCCACAGATTTATGATTCATTTTACGACTGACTATCAATCAAATTCCTCGTGATTGCGAGAATGCAATAACTGCACTAGAGATCTATGAGAATTTATGTTATTATTATTTTTAATAAAGATAATTAAAATTCACAAACGGTGACAAGTGATGGAAAATTCCATTGCAATATAATAAAATGTCCACGTTCGACCTTTCGATTTAAATTGGTCGCTATTTTAAATAAACACTTGTTTATCTTATATCGATATTTATACAAAATTAAATTAACCCCTTACGAGTGAATTTCAACCCCTGAGCATCTTGCGTATTATTTTATAATGCATGTTACTAGATAAACGGTAGTTGCCCCTTTTATTATTGTAATTTTTTTTTGTATCTAATCTTATATTATTTTCAAGTTTAGATATACATAGGTTGAAGCATTCATTACGTACTTCTAGCCGTGACCTCAGAAAATTGATATTTCCCACAAGTGTCTATTAGCAATGCCTAATTGACGTACAACATATTACAAATTGGCGCCCAACGTGGGGCCTTTATTAATAATTAACGTTTAATTCCTTATGTTAATTAATGAGAAAACCAAATGAGCGTATGAGATTGTAGTTTTCTCAGTGGTGAATTCAAGCTTCTCTAGTAGACACTTTTGGGAAATATTTTTAAGGGTATATGGGCGCCAAAATCTTTCTTTTTTATTTTTAAAAGTTTAGATTATAAATTATAAACAATCATGAAGAAATGTGGTAGACGCATTCTACCATCGATTAGGGTACTGTTAACTCACAAATGGAGCACATTTTCAACACTTTATAAAGTAACCATTATGTGAAAAATGTTATAATTTTTTAATTGTTACGTTTTAATGTAGTTAAAAATAGTTTGTATTAAAAATTTTATTGAGACAATTTTATTTATTTATTTATTTATTTTATTTATTTAAGACCTTCCATACTACATAAAATCATAAGTGTTACACATGGTTGAACTCGTATTGAATAGGAGATTCCAATAATGACTGAATATACAGGAAAATGATTTGAAAAACCAAAGTGACTAATAATTTAAGGGAAACGGCAAATCTGGCTACATTGCAAATATCAAATCTGGAATCACCGTATCTTAAAATAGGTGTACCCCAAATTTTGTATAATTAGGACTAGCAATTTACGAGATAATTGGCCGTTTCCGGAATTTTGGGCCACTCTATATATTACAGCAGTGTCGTCTGCAAAATCAATTACCTTTCCCGAAGAGTTAACGAAAATATATCATTAATGTACAAATTAAAGAGAATTGATCCCAGTACGGTACCTTGAGGAACTCCAAACGAACCAATTTTTTTTCTACTGAGTTCTCCATTGATCCTAACACGTTGTTTTCGGTTAGTTGAGTAGTCTCCAAAAAATTTGTATGGCAGTCCCCGTATCCCTGCATCTTCTAAAACGTCTAACAACTGCAAATGACTCACAGTACTGCTATTGGTTCGGTTTTATCAATGGAGTTATATATTAAGGAAACGAAGGTCTTAATTGCATCATTTGTTGATAATCCTTTCTAAAATCCATATTGTCGCTCTGACAACAATTTTTGTTTGTCTATGAAGTCCATTAATCTTTTATTTACAGTTTTCTCCATTATTTTAGCCAATGTAGTAATTAGAGATATGGCTCTATAATTGAACATGATCTTTTTCATCTTTTTTATGAATTGGAGTGACGATAGCTGTTTTAAATATGGAGGGACAGACCCCACTAGCAAATATCAAATTTATGAGATCAGCAATGGGTCTGATTAGCTCGTTATGTAGTTTTTTAAATAACTCGGCTTCCAAGTTACCTACTCCCGGTGCTTTATTTATTTTAAGTGACAATATTATGTCTCTAATCTCTTCGTTAGTTACTGGTAACCAATAAAAAGTGTTACAATTCTTTTTCCGGGGTGGAGGAGGATTTGTTGGTCTTGATATTTTTCGTGCTAGATTTTCTCCTACCGAAGCAAAATAATTATTAAATTTCTCCGAAATTTTTTTTTATCTTTAACTCTTTCGTCCGAATTTGTGAGTATTTCATTAATATTATTATTTTTAATTTTTTTGTTAACCAGATTCCATAAATATTTTGTATTACTTGAATTATTTTGTATTTCGGCTCGTTAGTAATTGCGTTTTGTAATTTTAATTAACTCATTTATCTGTTTACGATAGTTGACTTATAAATGTTTTTTCCCTCATCATTTGAATTTTGTTGATGTTCTTTTTATAATTTATTTTTATGGTTTATTGAGCGGACAATATTTAGTAATTCTTGGGCTTTTTTGTTTGCATCGTTCATAACATAAAAAGTTTGCCAATTATAATTTTGAAGCCCATTTTGATTTTTTTATATAGTTTATGAATGTTTTGTAATTGTCTGTGTTGGTATATTTAGCTTTAGCTCGGTGGTCCGTGATGTTATTTTCATATACAGCCGCAATTGCTTCGTCGAGAGAAAATTCTGCTACTATCCTGAGAAATATATGGTCTATGCAGCTGCGTGAAGTTTTCTGAATGCGCGTGTATTTATTATATAGTAAATTTAAATATTTTGTTATTTACGTTTACGTTCTCATAGCCTAAAAATTAATTAAATTAACAGCAAAAGTAAAGAAATTAATACAAACATGGAATATTCAAAATTGTTTTTTAAAAATTATACTTATAAATAAAATAAAAGGTAGAAATGTAAAGCCTAATTAGATTTTTATAGTTACATCAAAAACTTACCGCTATTGCAGTCTATACACTGTACCCAACTGTTCAGGTCAACAATTCAATTAGGAATGAAGGTAGAAAAATTACTTCAGACACGGCAACTTCCAGGTTTCTAAATAAATTTTCCCCTTACGCGAAATTTTCCTCTCGCAGCAATCAGTGACCGGCTGACCATTAGATTTTAAATCATTTTAATATAAATTAATCTATACATACGGGAAGGCTCTTATTTAAAAATAACATTTTTAAAAGATGATTTTTAAAATGATACATAATGAATGAAGTTTTCAGATATTTTATAACTTTGTGAATGTCTTTTTTGTGTAATTAGGTTAATGATTTCACCAGAAAACCAATTGGGATAGTTGGAGGTTCTAAATCTGTTTATAGAAATAAAAATGTGTAAAGCTTGATACAATATATTATAAAAAAATTCTGAAGCTATGTCAATCGTAGATGAATTAAACATAAGATCCCAGTTGACACTCGCTAGAAAATCATTTAAACCAGTATTGTTACCATTTTTAAAATCCACAAATATTCTTTATAATAGAGATAATTACTATTTTCCAATTTTAATTGAAAAGAAAGTGATATACTATTATTTACCAAAAAATCAATGGCTTCACATACTGCAACATCGCAAGAACTATGAAAAAATAAATCTAGAAATGCCCCTTTACTATTCGGAATACTATTGATTTGATATAAATTAAGATGGCTGAAAGTATTAAATAAAAGCAATGCTTTAGAATTTTCTAGATAATCAACATTATACCAATATGCCGCGGGAAAATTATAATCACCACATAATAAAAGTTTACTATTCTTATAATTTACAGATAAATAATTAATAGTATTCAAACGATTAATATATATGTTCTCGGCAGAACTTGGAGGAATGTAAACACCTCCTAAAATAAGTTGCTATTCTTACATTTAATTTGTACAAACAAATGTTCAACTGTTGTTTGATGAATTTCAACATTTTCAGTTATTAGTTTATGTTCTATTGCTAATGAAATGCCTCTGTCACGTAATTTACCACACACATTATAGTATTTATCTAATAGAAACATATTGTAACCTAATAACCCCAGGTTCTCATCTTTAAAGTCTGAATTAAGCCAAGAGTCGACAATTTTAATAATATAAAAAGAACAAAGAATATTTTGTTGCAAAGCATTAATTTTCGTCCTGAAATCACATTTTGATAATATATATTTGATATTACAGAGTCAGTATCTGGTTTTAGTTTTTTATATCTGTGAGACACCTTTCACATATTTTATAAAAACTTGTGCACCCTCAGCTTTCAATTCGCTGATTTATTCCCTAAGCTGCTTAGTGTTGTATATTTGTACAATAGTTAAATCGACCTCTAAAAAACTTTCCTTTTTCATTTTTTTTTTATTTTTCGCAATTGATAATGCATCATCAGAATTGCGTAGCGCCACTTTTAACAGTCGATTTCCGTTTTTGTTCTTCTTTCCAACTCTAATAGTTTTAACTATAGACAGATCTTGAAAAATCTCACTGACAATTTCTTTTACAGTATCAAAATCAGTTTTTTGCCGAGAAGCTTCAGGAACATTGAACATTATGCTATTGTTAGCTCGTCTTTGCCTCTCATGGATCTCGTTGATGGTATTTTCTTTAGTTATCATAATCTCTTCCTGGAGATCATCAATTTTAGCAATTAAATCAGGAATCTCATGAAGTAATTTAGAGCCTTCTTGACAATCATCGCAAAAGAAGTTTAGTAGTCTCTTCTCCCTCAGTTCCATAACTCTTATCACTAATGCATTAAGGTTAGTTCATTCTTTATGCAGTTTCCTTTGACAAACATCACATGCGAGTCCCATGTCATCTTTAGGGAAAGTATTACATTTAATACAAGTCATTCTAGATAAAATGGAAATTAGCACGCCACTGGTATCAAACAGAGGAAGATATATCAGACACCACTTTTTGTGAAATTAATAATTTTTTGCAAAACTAATAAAAATAAATAATGCAGCAAAATACATAGGAATTGAAACAAATTTCAGTTCAGATATTATTGTTCATCAATTAAATAATTGCAAATATTCACCACAAAAATAAATAGAGCTGTTTGATATGAATTTCAGCCAAAGAGAACCCAAAAAATAGCTGACAATTTAAAGGATTGTTTATTTATAATTTTTTGTACATTTCAGTCCAGTTGACTCATTCCCAAATTTGCAATCTCTTGTTCTTTTATTATACTCGGAATGTGTCTGTAACGATCAGACGGGATCGTAACGGGCCAATAACGAACTTAAAGATTTAATTTGCAGTCAGTTACGATTGCATACAAATTACTCATGTATAGCTAAGTGTATAGCTGTGTGATGTCTGTATTTTTGACGAAATTCGAGGTTAATCACAAGTAAAAATGAGACAAATTTAGGGTAAAATTTTTTAAAAGGAAAATATGCATATAGATTTCTAGTAATTTTAGTGTCGCAGTGGAGCTATAGAATCGAAAAAGACTTTAAACTTATGTTTTATTTTAATTTATGCGAGTAACTTTTACAATTATTTTCTCTCATTATTTTCTAAGTTATTTAAGATTTCATCTCTTTCTTCATTTTGTATCTCTGGCTCATCGTTTATATCATTTTCTTCTGGTTTATCTGGTTTTTCTGTAATTTTATTTTTCTCGGGCAAAAATATGACATCTCTGTGTGCTTCTACTTTCTGTTTTTCTAGAAAAAATATTCGGTACCCTTTTATATCTTCTCCATATCCTACAAACATTCCTGTTAAATTTTTTGCATCCCATTTTAGTCTTTTCTCTTTTGGTATATACACTGATACTTTAGTGCCGAATATTTTATAAATGTGTATGTCACTCTCCTTTTTATACCATAATTCGAAAGGAGTTTTAGATTTTTGAGGACTTGGACCTGTTCTATTAAGTGTAAAAGCAGCTGTATTTAAGGCCTCTGCCCAGAAAATCTTACTATACTTTTCTTCTCTATTTAGCATACTTCTTGCTGCTTCTACCAATGTTCTGTTCTCACGTTCAGCCCTCCCATTTTGTTCTGGTGTGTACACCATTGTTCTTTGATGTTTTATGCCTTTTTGCTCCAACATTTCTATTATTTCTGAGTTGACGAATTCAAGGCCGTTGTCTGTTCTTAAGATTCTCATTTTATGGCCTGTTTCTCGTTCTGAGAGGGGAATACACTTTTCTAGATTCTTTTTTACCTCAGATTTATTTTTCATAAAATATATTTTTCTATATGAGGAAAAATCATCTTTTAGAAGAAGAAAATAGCGTGCCCCACCTAAGGATTTTGTTTCCATGGAGCCACACACATCTGCATGAACTAATTCTTAGTGGGGCTGTAGCTTTTTATTTGCTATTTTTAAACGTCAAGCGATGCTGTTTTCCAGCTAAACAATGTTCACATATAAAGTCTTTGTTTATTTCTAGATATTCAATTTTGTTTCTTTTCAAAAAATCTTGAACATACTTAAAATTTTGTTGTGCCAGCTTGCAATGCCATTCTTGAATGCTTCCTATGGTTTTTACATTCATACATTCTAAGATTAAATCTTCTTCAAGTTCATCGACCTCCGTTTCATTTTGAATGTACCTTTCTTCAGTGTAATTTTCATTATAATTTTAACAAAGCACATTTTATAAAGCTTATTTTCTCTTATGGCTGTTGCAATTATTTTTCCATCTTTGTCAGTGAATTCACACTTTTCTTTATCTGATCTTAAAAAATGTCCCTTATCTAAAAGCATAGCCTGCTGAAAATAGGTTAAATTTTAACTTTGGTACATAGAGAACATCTGATAGGGTAGTTTTAATTAATTTTTGACCATTGTAAGCCCATAATACTATTTTTCCTATTCCTTTCACCTCCAGCTTTTGTCCATTTCCAACTTGCACCATTTTTCTTGTTTTTATTTTATTTAAGCTTTCAAACAAATTTTTATTTCAGCTCATATGCTCTGATGCTCCAGAATCAAAACGCCAGTCATCTATTTTGAAGTTTTCAGTATATACCATAAAACCATTTTCATCTTCACTCTTTTTTCTCATTTTTATGTGTATGCTGGTTTTTATTTTTGAACCAATAGTATTTTAGGTCATGTCCTGACTTTTTGCAATGACTACAATATAGTGAGCTTCTTCCTTGGTTCATGTTTTTATTAGCTTCAGTAGTTTTATTTCTAAAATAGCAATTTTTGGCTAAGTGCCCTACCTTTTTGCAAATATTGCATTTTTTGTTTGTTTTATGCCTTTTTTCTCTAACTGTAATGCACCTGCTTCATCTACGGACTTGTACCTCTCTTCCTCTAATAGAAGACATGTAGTCAACTCTTTTAATGTTTGTTTCTCTGTGTCTACAGATTCCCAGGCTGATATGAAATGTTTATATACAATGGGTAGGGAGTTGAGAATTTTTGTTATTATCATCGTATCAGATAGTGTTTCACTACATGTCCTTAGCTTATTTTTAACGTCTTCTATTTTTGAAATAAATGTAGCTACTGATGATTCAAATTCTAGCATAAAAAATCTTTGCTCTAGGAGATGTATGCTAACTTCTGCTTCTTTGTCATAAATTGTTTTGAGTTTTGTCCACATGTCTTTTGATGACTCACAAGACAATATATGTGTAATTGGGCCTTCTTCTATTCTCGTTACCAACAGTTCTTAGGCTATTGCATCATTTTACACACATTTTACACACATTTTATGCATGGGTCTGGGCCCATAACCTCTAGTAATTTTAGTGTCGTAGTGGAGGTATAGAATCGAACAATACTTTAAACTTATGTTTTATTTTAATTTATGCGAGTAACTTTTACAATTATTACACACTCAAGACATATGACATGTATATTAAAAATTGACACTTATGATAGACAGGTTAACCAACCTCTACAAAAATAAACCAACTAAAAATTAGATTTGCCTTTGTGCGAATAGATGTCGCTACTTGTATATTTGACAAGATTATAATAAATACCTACTGAAGTTGAAGATTAAAATAATATTTAGTATTTAAGAAATAATGATATCTGTAAATAAACTGGCAAACAATAATGGTTGAAAATGTAGAGAAAAAAGATACTAATATGTGCTATGTATTAAGAAAGTAATATTTTATGTGAGAAACGAATCTTTATTACCAAAGTTACAAGTATCAGACATGTGCTACGAAATCTCTAAAATATGTGACATAACCAAGAACTGTCAACTGTCAGGAAGACACATGACATCCTTAGGCCTATCTTACACTATACATTTTAACATAGACTTAAGGATATAATATATAACAATATGTTTATGATTGAATGTACCCTATTAATTTAAAATTATTTTTATTAACAGCTTGATTAAAGTATCTAAAAGTTATCAATCCGTCTTGTAGTGAAGTTATTCACTTCCTATCGCCTGTCTTATTGTAGGATTTGATTAATATGTTGGTGGCTGATCATAAAAGAAAACTCATAATGTATTCCGTAAAAACGTGAATAATAATAAATAAACATACAATAAGGTATCGTTTCCGTGATTGGCAGCGTACGGAGAAATGCCTGCTTACAACCGGGAGGATATTTGCATTATTTCTTCGACGTGCATATAACTTCCAGACAATGGATATGACTCAGATTAGTCGTTAAAACCTCTAGTACGTGGATATATTTCTTTGCTGTTATCAATCAATGACATTTCATTGCTTTATTGCTTACTATTCCTTCCAATTTAGTTTGGATTATACAGGATGTTTCAGAAATAGGTACATTAATAACTTTTTTACTATAAACACTAGGTATATTTATAGAAATAAAATTGATAAAAGATTTAACACAGTTTAACACTATGTTTATTATCCTGCGACCAATAGGCTAAAACGGATGGATTATGTTTTTTATGGAAAATAAAAGAAGACTCAGATATATATGTAATGCGAGCCATTTCAATATTCAGTCACTCTCTGTCTTATTTGGCCTTTCAGAATCAACTTGTCCGATTATTATACATAATCCCCTTAATACCAAACATATGTGACGACTATGGCGAAGGCGCTTTCAAGTACATTCCAGATTAAACGTGATAATGTTACTAGTTTTGGTGAGAATTAGTGAAAACATTCTAGAACCTTCACTAAAATTTTAAATGTGTAAATAAATATTGGTGGAGGAACACGGAGCAGTTAGTCGTATACAAATAGTTGTGAAGATAAATAGTAAACAATTTAAAGACATTCGAAATATATATAAATTAGAATAGTATTGTTTTAAAATAAATAGGTGTTTAAATAAATTATTAACAAATAAACAGTTGTTTAAAATAACATAACATAACATGGACAAAAATGGCTTAAAGACTGTGTGATTTAAAAGTGACCGATCTATGTCGAGAGTTAGAAGATCGCGAGTTAAAGACGATAGGGAAGAAAACAGAACTGGCAGAACGACTTAAGGAAGCAAAAGAAAATGAAGGTTTGGATTCGAGAACATATATATTTTCTATAATTTCTTCAATTTCTTCCAATATGGAAAATTAAATATCTTTTTTAAAAACCGACATTTCTTCTTTACATAATAAAGTTTCTTCCATGGAAAATAAAGTTTCTTCAGATGTTTCCTCCATAAAAATGATATTTCCTCTTTAGAAACCAAAGTTTTTTCTGAGATTACTTCCGTAGAAAGTAAAGTTTCGTCTGATATTTCTTTCTTAAAAGAAAAGGTGAATTCTGACATATCTTCTTTAAAAACAGAAATTTCTTCC